CCAGCGACATGTTGACCATTTTTGTAATTATCGGACACAGAACATCACAGCAATCCTTAAGCAAATAAGTTGGTATTGGATCAAGTTGACAAGAGGCATTTGATGCTTTCGAAATAACTCCTCGTATATCATCTTGCAATACAGGAGAAAAGGATTTAAGCAATACTTCAGGTAAATGATGTTCAGTAGTTATCGGATGAACACCAATCTTATTAATTTCGTCATTGATAAGTTCAATCTTTCGAAAGAAAAATGTTCCAAATTCGTTCGCCAGAATCAACGGATCCTCATAAGGTGGTAAACTTTCAGATGACTTCTGTTTGGACAATGAATTGATAACACGAAACAATTTCTTAGAATTGCCTGAGCATTTGTCAATTAAATCAGAATAATAACTAGTTTTTGTTTTACGAAGAAGGGCACTGTATTTATCTCTAGTCTTATAATAAAGCTCTTTATCATGGGAACAACCAGATTGAAGCATTTTTCTTTCGCATTTCCGTCGTTCAGCTTTAAGCTTTTTAAGATCATCAGTGAACCAAGATACAACAGGTCTCATGACCATCTTTTTCGTCTTAATAGGAGCGTGTTTATCAAGAAGATTTAACAAAGTCGTATCATAACAACGTGTAAACTCATCAATATCCAAAAAGGAATTGACACATAATTCAGACCCGGAAATATCATTTTTGAACATGGGAATGTCTATTCTTCTCAAGAGGACAGACTATGGGACAGACGCACGGAATTACGTCATAAGTTTTTAAAATGTCGAAAATATTTGAAAATTCCACTGAATTTATACAAATTGAATGAATTCATGCAATTAAATCTATAAACATCAATAGTCTATTGATGTTTATAGATTTAATTGCATGACAATAGATACCTTCGATAAACGTGCAAAAACCACTCACCGAAAAGCTAGCAACTCGGCAAATCTCAATTCTGACAATTCAGTCATTCATATGCGACTTCAAAATCCAATCCGGTCTTCGAAAACAAATATACTACAGTACTGCGGTCATTTGACCCGGTCGATGTCTCATTTTCAAAGCTGTTTTCTTCACTTCGTGCAACATAGGTAATGTTTAAGTGCTTTTCAATTGCCATAGTCGCTCAGAATACAAAATAATTGCCTTTTTATCACTTAAAACAACGTTTTTTCAAATTGTTTTTTCATTGTTTTGATAAATTTTTAGTTTTTCCTTATTTATTACCGTCACAGAATAGGAAGTTATAGCAGAAGCGTAACTCTAGTCGTTCCCCTTATTGTTTCACGTCCACGAAAATTTTAACTCGCTCACGCCAATCCACGTCATCCTGGCTAGTACAACCGGAAGTTTTTATCAGGTTTTGGTAGGTACAAAGTGCCGGTTGTACTAGCCAGGATGGCGTGATTGATGACGAATCGCTTGTAAAAACGCGGACAAATACTTGCTTGAGTTACGCTTCTGCTATACCTTCCTATTCTGTGTTACCGTCTAGCGCATTCTAAGCTTAGCCAATCAAAATTCAGCACGTGACTTAAGCGAGCCAATAGCATTTCGTTACTTGTATAGATCATGTACGCGTGATATTTGCAAAATTTCGACTTCCAAATGTTTGGGAGAATAAAAATAAACTGTTTAACGGTTTAGTTGGCAATTTTTTCAATTTTATTATATAAAACAAATAGATTACATTTTCCCGTTGTCTGTTCAGTTATAGATACACAGTATGACGTCTGTTTATAAATACCTGTTAGATCAGTGATAAATACGGATCAACGCAGCGTGCGACTGAAATAAAATGTCATAGATTCGAATAAATGTTTCCTTCAATTATTACACAAGAACAAGGATAACACCAATTTACATAGATGAAGAAGAATTTCAAGATTATTCTTTTGACCTTTTCAAAGATAGAATTTTGAGAGAAATACCTCATTTGCGAAAAGCGACATCTTTGCGCTTGACTATTAACGAAAATGGAGAGGAAGTTGATCTGTCGCCGAATTACTTCAATTTACAGTTAAGACTGACTAATGGGGCCGTCGAAAATAATTCATGTGAATGCAATTGAATTTGAATCGCCTGCGGCGAGTTCTTCTATGCAGCGAGATGAAGTGCCTACGAAAAGCGTTGTTAGTACTCGAGGCCGAAAATCCTTGATTCTTGGAAAGAATACAAATGAACACGATTTCATCAGCGACTCTGACGACGACCTAGATTCGGATGACGACCTAATTAACAAAGATAAACCCAAACTTCCGCTTGACAGATTTCTGCAAAAGCAGAAAAGAAACCGTTGCAAATTTGACACTTGCATGTATGCCATGTTTTGTATTGTAAAACGTTCTCAGCACTTGGTAATCTACCTCGCACGCCCGTGGGCAGATCACCGACAAAATGTTTCCAATTTCAGAATACGTTGTTGAAGGCTTGTGTCTCTTCAGGGACCGGTTGTATAAAACTCTTAATCACTTTTTTAATCACTATTTTGTAGTTAAATAGTGATTAACTCTCAAATACGCGCTTCTTATTGGATAACATTTCCACTAACTATAGTTAACTTTAATCACTTTTTTATACAACCGGCCCCAGGACTTCAATTAATTGTAAATCTCCGTCTGAGAGACTACTTCTATTCCCATCACTGGTTTTTAGTTACCCTGGGTGCCAGAGGTTCTTCCACGCTCGTAGGGAGGGATAATAAGGGATACACGAGGATTCAAGCTGGGCGGCGGCGAGCGGGAAGAACCTCTGGAACACTTCTATGGCTTTTATTCTGTTTTAACTGTCACACGTCAATCAAACGTTAGCCAATAGGACACGTATTTATTTTTATACGTGCGAAATAGCGCGGGAAGGATCGAGCGGCAGTCTTTAAAGGGAGTGCAAATGGTCATTGATATTTAGTACCAGCTGTAAAGCCGTAGGGCCAGGTAAAACCGCAGGGTGGGTCCGTGACTCCTTCGCTCCTGACCAATAACTCGTAGAATCTCAATCAAACTTCACCTTACAGGTAAGCCTCGTTTAATTTTCTAATTCTACTTCGTCATTGGTTAGTTCGCTACGGAGTCACGTGTGAGACTTTAAAGTAATGACCATGAGCACTGTAACTTTGCTTTTTTAATAACAACAATATCAACACGATACATGCTTAATCAACGTTAAGAATTTTTAAGAGGCTATGACCAAATTTTTCTTTTTGATCACTTTCAATTGGTTTGTCATAAAATTTACTGAATGTTTTCGTGTTCGACCACCCAGCTGCGTCCATAATGGTACTAATTGGCAACTGGACATATCACTTTGTCTGCTGTAAAAGCTTTGATCTCAATCTTTCGAAAGTGCTTTCCAGGTCGAGAGGTTTTAAACAGTTTATTTATATGAAGGACCACATCACTGTTAACCATCTGTTCAATGTTCAAGACCTGTATGGTCTGGCAACGCTGTCCAGTAACAAGGGCAAGCAGCATGGTTGTCTTCATAGTCAGATCTTGTAGGGAGAGTTGTGTATTCTCACCCAAAGATTTTAGATATTTTATAACCACAGACACATCCCAGATCTGTTTATAACGTGGTAGTGCTGGTCTATTTACAAATACTCCTTCCATATATCTGGTTACCAGTGGGATTGATACTTCGTTCACAACAGTGCTGTTCCCACTTTTGTAAATAGTATTTGTACTGTTTTTGAGTCCCCGGTCTCCATGCTTGTACGATGATTGAAACAGCTTCTTTTGAAATTCCTTTACTTTCAAGTGATCCCCCGATAAGTGGCACATCAGTAATCGCAACTTCTTTTGTAGAGGATGAATCTTCTGAGGATGGGATGGTAACATGCATCAGTGTTGTTTGTGTGCTAGGCAACATAAGGGGACAATTTATTAACATATTGGTTAGATATGGCCACCAAGATTGGGTCGGCCAGTGTGGAATTACTATTATGCCTGTTGCCTTCTCTTCTGAGATTTTTTGTAATACTTGGCTGATAATGCAAAAAGGTGGGAATGCATAAAAGCACATGTTTACCCAAGAGATATGAAAGGCATTTATGGCTTGAGCAATTCTGTACAGCTTCTTTACAGAGTTTAGCAATTCCAGGAAACCAAATCTTTTCTTGAAGAAGTTTCAGCGTGCGGGTCTCTCCCGAGTGCCCACTCTTGTGTGCTTTCTCGACAAATCTTCTTCGACTGCTCAAAGGCGGAATTACTTTGTCCTTACACAGGTTGATTTCTCCAACAACAGATAAGTCGGACGCTACTCCGAGGAATCTTGAAACTCTTGGATCTTTTCCGTGTTTCTTCCAGAGGTTTCTTTGAATTACTTCTTTTAGGAATTGGTAATCATTATCGTCTTTTGCCATTCTGGAAAGGTACTCGTTGTCTTCAGAGACAAAAGTTCGTAATCCTTCTTCTAACTCGTTCACGGACTTCACCATGGGAACAGCATCATGTCTCCTCGTCAGGTGTCTTGATCCATAATCCGCGATGTTCTCAGCTCCTTTCTGATACTTGACCACATAGTCTAAACCTTGTATGGCGAGAATTTGTCGCTCGATACGCAGTGATGCTCTTGAGGTTGGATTGTTGAAGAGATGTACAAGCGGTTTGCAATCCGTGAAGATTTCAAACTTTGGCGCTCCAACCAAGTACTTATAAAGGGCGTCAGCACAAGCAAACTTGATCGCAGCTGCTTCTAACTCAGTCTGTCCGTATCTTGTCTCAACGTCAGTTAGGGCACGGTTGGTTACGTGACACATTTTCCACTGTCCGTCGTCACCTTTCTGGCATAAAATAGCGCATAGTCCTCCAGGAACGTTGCTCGATTTCTCTGTTTTCTTTCCAGCATCTACGTAGATTCTTATCGGTGTTTCGGGAACAAAGTAGGAAAGGGTTGTTTGCTCCGTCAAACTGCTCTTCAAGCTATCGAAAGCTTCCTGTTCTATAGGTCCCCAATTGAAGGTTGAGGTTGACTTCGTTAACTGTCGCAGCGGTGCGGCAATCTGGGCAAAGCTGGTGATAAATCGAGACATATATCCCACCATCTGCAGAAAGCTTCTTACTCCTTCTTTTGAACTGGGCTCTCCACATTCTTGCAACGCTTTCACTTTCGCCTTCGATGGTTTGATTCCTTCTCCCGTAAATCTGACACCATAGAACTCAGCTTCCTCCTTTCCAAATTCACATTTCTCCAATCTTAATGTTAATCCATGGTCTTGCAGACGTGTTAGGACTAGGTCGAGTGTTCTGTTGTGCTCGTTTCGATCTTTCCCACCAATTAGACAGTCGTCTCGATTACTCTTTACGTGAGGAATTCCCGCTAGAATCTCATTTATTCGTCTGTCGAATTCATCTTGGCTGGAGAGTTAAAACTCTTAACATAATATTTTTATATACTTTGGACATATTCAGTTAGGGCCATGCTAGGTAATTACTAGCAAAGTTCCTGTTTATTATATGAATGCAATACTGCAACAGGTTTTGATAATAATGCACTTTGCTAATGTCAAGGCAAAGCTTGAGTTGCACAGATTACTGTAACTGTAAGAATATTCTCATATATATTCTCAATCTGTGTCTTGAGTAAACTGTAACAGATCACTGGTTTGCCTCACGGAGGCAAGTAATACATTATTAAAGTCTAAAGGTATAATTATCTGCACTTTTAGGTCTTTATATCAGTGGCATGATACATGTGATTCACCATATTAGCTCTTTTAATGAGAAAGATGATGACTTCAAAGGATATGAATATTTGGAAGATGAAAAATAAGAAATATAATTTTAAAACATGGCTGACCACAATTCCACAAATATGATTTTTGGTATGTGTAATATTTGTGTCATTAAAAGAAATGTTATCTCTATAATAAAAAAACCTTCTTTATCGACTTTTCAAGTTTCCGAATATGATGTCATTATGTGAATTGTAAATTAGTTTTCCTTTGTTTTTTATCAATATTCATCTAATGACGTCAGAAACTTTGACAATGAAAAAGTTGATCAAGATGAGGTTGTTATATCACACAAACCAAAAATTCGACTTGGGGTTAGTCCAACTTTAATTAATTAATGCATGCTTGATTTTTTTGTCATTAACTTGCATTTAATAAAGTTACAGCACACATAGTGTACATGTTTTGAAAATAATATCTATCTGTCTATTTGTCAAAGTCATGTAAAAAGGAAATTCATGCTACACCATGTGTACAAGAAAATGTTTGATTTAAAAACTACTTGATCAACAAGAAACAGCTTATAGAAGACAAGTCATACACAATTGAATAATAGTTGAAGGGTCTTGTATAGATGGAAATTATCGAGCGGAAATTTATATGCATGTATGAGACCTAACCAGGCACAGTTGCGAAAAATGCAACAGCAGGTCCCGGGCAGGAATCGAACCTGCTGCCCTGCGATTCAGGTGCAGCACTCTAACCAATACCGTAAACCTCCAACTATAAGCCCCCACCCCCAACTATAAGCCCCCACCCCCCGAATATAAGCCCCCCCGTGTATAAGCCCACCACATGTACTAACGCTCACCTCATTCCAAATATAAGCCCCCCCCCGAATATAAGCCCACCCGAATATAAGCCCCCCGAATATAAGTCCCCCAATTAATATAAGCCCAGTAATCGCTGCTTGATTAATACACGTTTACTCCCTGTTAATGACTGGCTTGTTTATGTCTGACTTGTTTTTTTTTGTTTTTTTTGTTTTTGTTTTTTTATCAGCTTTATTGGACATACATATAAAAGGTTACATATTATTATACAAACAAATAAAATTACAGGGTATACGTCCAATGGGGCTAGCGCAAACGGGACAACGAGACCCATGCAGGGCGCCACCCCTAAACTAAACTAGTGAAAACAAACTTATTGACTATACAGAATATATACATATATAACTTAGGACTTAAGTACGGTGACAAGGGCAGTCTCTTATGAGCGACCAAGTACATGTCATATCTACATTAAAAGTACTGTTCACCAAGGCGGTGTATGTCATGTGCAAAAAGCTTTTAAAAATATTTAGACTGGCAAACTTTTCTGGAGAGGCTATTTTACATATATAGTTCCAAGGCTTTACTATTCTATTAAAAAACGATGCCCCAAAGGTGGATGTTTTACAACAGGAGTGTTTTAGCATTAGGGTTGGATTCTGTGCGCGAGATCGATTGTGCTCTACGAAGGTTAAAAGTTGATTAATGTTTAAATCGGTATGACCGAAAATATATTTATAAACCAACACAAGATCTCTGATTTCTCGATCATAAGTTAGTGGCAATAGGTTTAGAGATTTCAGCCTGTCTTCATATGACAGCTCACCAACTTTAGTTCTTAGAATCCATCGAGTTGCCCGTCTCTGTACTCGTTCTAAGAGAATCTGCAACTTTGCGTTTGAAGGTGACCAAACCTCAGTTGCGTAGCACAGCTGCGACTTTACCAAGGCTAGATAAAGTGTTCGTCTAACTTTGGTGTCTGTGATGAGAGGACATGTTCTTTTCAGGAGACCGAGCATCCTGTTAGCTTTGCTGACGATTGAGGAGATGTGAGTGTCCCAAGATAGCTTGCTATTGACGATAACTCCTAGGTCGTTTTCTTGTTGAACGCGTTGTAAAATGGCGTTGTCCAGGTGGTAGTCCGTAAGTACAGGCGATTTCTTCCGAGTGACCGTTAATACCTTACACTTGGAGGCATTAAACTTCATATTGGAGTTATGACTCGAAGTATTTAGGTTCGATATGTCACGTTGCAGGTTCTCACAGTCACTTTGGGACGAAATAGAGCGGTATAATTTTGTGTCATCTGCATAGAGAGCTGAACTCGTCTGTTCCTGGATCGAGTCAGGTAAGTCATTAATAAAGATGACAAACAGCAGAGGTCCAACAAGGCTTCCTTGGGGCACACCAGAGGTGACTGGTAGGTACTGAGAGGCAACACCGTCTATCACAACTCTCTGATATCTATCGTTGAGATAGTCCTTAAACCAGTTAAGGAGTTGACCCGTTACGCATACCATTTAAGTTTCTGGATAAGAATGACATGGTCTACAGAATCAAACGCCTTAGCGAAATCAAAATAAAGCATATCAGTTTGAGTGTTCCGGTCGAGTGATTTACCAATAGAGTGGAGAACAGGCAGGAGTTGTGTCACACAAGAACGATTACGCATGAAACCGTGCTGAAGTTCGGTGATTAGACGTGACACGTGGGCATATAACCTAGCTGTTGCAGGCGCAGCGTTCCAACACTTTACTAACTATTGACAATAAAGAGATGGGTCTGTAGTTTCCAGCAGGTTCCTTCAGATCTTTCTTGTGCACAGGTGTTACGTCTACATTCTTCCTTTCAGCTGGAAAACGCGCAGTGCGCAGAGAGTCGTTGAACAGAGCACATAAACTTGGTGCGATTTCCTTTCTACATTGTTTTAGAATGTGTGCAGGAATCCCATCTGGACCGGAGGCTTTAGATGAATCTAAACCAGCCAAGCAAAGTTCCACTTCTTCCACAGACAGCTGCACATCGGAGATTTCAACATCTGATCGATTGGGGTTAGAGCATAGAGATTATAAATAACACTAGAGGAGGCATCGAGTTTAAAAATTGGGAACGCAGCTAATGGGGAGCAAATTCAAGTCCCGGATATAAAATCGTGCTCTCATTGGCTGATTTGAAACTCGTCACCAATGGGAACATGAATACACATCCGGGACTTGAATTTGCCCCCCAATAGTCGCGTTCCCTTTTTTTTACTGAATTAAGATTACAATGCCTCCTCTAGTGTTATTTATAATCTCTATGGGTTAGAGGGCATCATACTAGGCACGGTGTTGGGAGAAGTGAACACAGAGCAAAAGTACGTATTAAAGAGCTCAGCTTTTTCTCCGGACGTCTTGGCTGTTTGACCATTATGCGTAATGACAGAGTCGACTCCTGAGCGATGATGTAATACCGCTTTATGATAGCTCCAGAACAGTTTTGGATTTTCACAGAAAGAACCCACGATTTTATTGAGGTAATCACGATGTTTATGCCTGACAAGGATTTTGATGTCATTACTTAGAGATCTAAGTTTTCGTTTGCGTTGTTCAGTTCTATTTTCGCGGTATTTTTTGAGAGCTCGATATTTCTTGCGCAGGAGGTGCCTGATTTCTCCATCAATCCATGGAGGAGAGTTTGTGTCTTTTATAACTTTAACAGGCACACATTTTTCTATTGCAGCTAAAAATAATGCTTTCCACCGAAACCAGTAGAGATCAACATCATCAGAGACGGACATGTCTAATGCGTCAAGCTGCAGACGGTTACGAAGGGCCTCGAAATCTCAGTGCTCTCTTGCAGTTGTACGCTTTACGTTGCACACGCTTTGCTCGCTTGAACTTCAGCCGTATAGAGAAATCTACTACTAGGTAGTGATCAGAGGGGAAATTACTTTCCACTGGAGTGAAGGTGGAGACGTGGTCGATAACTTCCGGACAGTTGGAGAGAAGCAAGTCGAGTTTGTTTCCTGCTATATGAGTAGGGCCTTTAATAAATTGAGCGAGGAAGTTATCTTTTGTTATGACGCAGAATTCATCGTCCTCCTGAGACCCGCCGATGTTAGTAGGGGCGGATTCATCAGGTGACCAAGTTAGAGAGGGAAGGTTAAAGTCACCAACAACTACGACACACGCTGATTCAGGAGTTCCTTGTAGAGACAAATTAAACTTGTGCAAGTCTTCTGGTCCAGGTTCGGTATGGTAAACAGTATAGAGAATAACTGACTTACTGTTATCCTTAATCAGTTCAACAACAGCAAGTTCAACATTGTCTCTCTCAAGGTCTTGTCGATGAGTGGACCTAGCCTCCTCCGCAGGCAACTGTATAGTTCTGCAACGTTATTAACCATAAACGATTTATCAGGAACGTAGAAAATACAAGGAAATACTAGTTCTGAAATACGATATGATATTTATAATGAACACTGGAGCGTAAAAATAGGGAGGCTTGTGGATAATGTAGGAAGTAATGGGATTTAATTTACGCTCCAGTGTTCATTATAAATATCATATCGTATTTCAGAACTAGTATTTCCTTGTATTTTCTACGTTCCTGATAAATCGTTTATGGTTAATAACGTTGCAGAACTATACAGTTGCCTGCGGAGGAGGCTAGAGTGGACCTAATGTCAGACTTCACAGCAATTAAAACGCCTCCGGCAGTCCTTCCAACCCTGTCTTTGCGATAAATGTTATAGCCAGTTAGGATTTCTCCAGACTGGAAAGTTTGCGAATTGCGCGCCCGAGATCAACATTTTCCGGACATTTTGCGCGCCCAAATTTCGAATCTGCGCGCCTGGTGTCCGAATTTGCGCGCGCGATTTTTAATTCATAGTTTTCAGTTTCCCTAAAACGCGACATTATAAAACTCTTTATTGCAAAAGTAAGTACTGACTACTAAGTAGTAACTAGATGTTTTAAGTATTTTGTTAATTATTTGGTTGCTAATGCTTCACAGCCTTCACAGGCTTCACTTGCTTCAGTGCTTGCAAGTTGGAAACACCCCAAACAGTGAAACAGGTAAACACTAAACAGTTAACAGTTGCAGTTTACTCTTGTTAGACTGTTAGTCTTGTGACTCTTGTCTAATTCAATTAGAAAAGAGCCACAAGAAATTCATTCATCATAATTCATCATGAATGATGAATTATATTCATGTACTATATGTGATAATATGTCCATTCCACTTACCTCAAATTTGTACTTACAGTACCTTGAGTTATGTTATGTTATGGCCCATTTCAGTTCCTTTCTTTAATACAATTACATTTCATCTTGGTGATCTTATTCTTACCAATACGGCAATACCGCAGTCCGTTATCTTCTAAATTGCCAATGCGCAATCATACATAGGTCATATGGATTATGAAACGCAGGCACCTAATAAATTCGCTTCGTTGACGATAAAAATCAGAGAAACAGATTTGTCAGGTACCTTCCTCGAACGACTATATATATATAAAAGCTGTAAACATAATTTGTTGGGTCAGCAACCAGGTGGTGGACCAGTGATTAGGAAGGTTAAAGGTATTTCGTTATTAAATGTCTTTAAACAGCAACCAGGTGGTGATTAGGAAGGTACTTCAGTTATTAAATGTATCTAAACAGCAACCAGGTGGTGGTTGGGAAGGTATTTCAGTTATTAAATATGTCTCTAAACAGCAACCAGGTGGGGGTTAGGAAGGTATTTCAGTTATTAAATGTATCTAAACAGCAACCAGGTGGTGGTTGGGAAGGCATTTCTGTTATTAAATATGTCTCTAAACAGCAACCAGGTGGTGGTTAGGAAGGTATTTCAGTTATTAAATGTATGTGGTGGTTAGGAAGGTATTTCAGTTATTAAATGTCTCTAAACAGCAACCAGGTGGTGGTTAGGAAGGTATTTCAGTTATTAAATGTATCTAAACAGCAACCAGGTGGTGGTTAGGAAGGTATTTCAGTTATTAAATGTCTCTAAACAGCAACCAGGTGGTGGTTAGGAAGGTATTTCAGTTATTAAATGTGTATAAACAGCAACCAGGTGGTGGTTAGGAAGGTATTTCAGTTATTAAATGTCTCTAAACAGCAACCAGGTGGTGGTTAGGAAGGTATTTCAGTTATTAAATGTGTATAAACAGCAACCAGGTGGTGGTTAGGAAGGTACTTCAGTTATTAAATGTCTCTAAACAGCAACCAGGTGGTGGTTAGGAAGGTACTTCAGTTATTAAATGTATCTAAACAGCAACCAGGTGGTGGTTGGGAAGGTATTTCAGTTATTAAATGTCTCTAAACAGCAACCAGGTGGTGGTTAGGAAGGTATTTCAGTTATTAAATGTGTATAAACAGCAACCAGGTGGTGGTTAGGAAGGTATTTCAGTTATTAAATGTGTATAAACAGCAACCAGGTGGTGGTTGGGAAGGTATTTCAGTTATTAAATGTCTCTAAACAGCAACCAGGTGGTGGTTAGGAAGGTATTTCAGTTATTAAATGTGTATAAACAGCAACCAGGTGGTGGTCTGCCGGTTAGGATGGCATTTTGAGTTAAATTTGTTTAGGAGAACAGCCGGTGAACCAGCCAGATAAATAACTAATTGACCAACCATTCCAATAACTAATTGATAACTAATTGACAATAACTAATTGACTAATCATCCAAACCCTTCCATCTCTTCATCACCACTTGGCTTTGAACAAGGTGGAATCGCATGACATGGTTTATTGCAAACTTTGCAAGAATGACCGTCTCCACATTCTTTCTTGCAAGAAATACAAACTATACAACATAAAAAGTATGTTTGACATCCATTTAATTAAATTTATTTGATAAACATCAAATAAATATCTATGAGTATCAGAGTATGGCAATGTGGATTTGTAAGTGAGACTGTCAGTGTCAGGTGTCAGTTCAGGGAATAATGTATGATTATTCATTATTATGATTATTTAAAAAAAAAGTTGAGCTAACCTTTAACTACTTGAACGTCTTCCATTTTTTCCTTTTCAATATTTTCAAACGTGAATGATTTGAATCCAAATCTTGAAACAAATAATTTAATAAACAAACAATAAAAAATAATGAAATTATGAATTCATTGATTTATAAAGAAAAGAAAAGAAAATTTATTACAACTTTTAATTTATAACAACAAATCTGAAATAATACAAATTATACATTAATGTTATGTATGACTTAAGAGTTAAGACTTAAGACTACTACAATAGTGACTTAAACTTATAATAATAAGAATATGTATCAATACATTATAGACGTATTATATTAACATTCAGAGGTACCACTCTGTCCACTCAGGTGCTCAATCACAGCCTCATGGTGGCAAGTGTGAAGTGGCGACTGGCAACTGCTAATAATTTGAAAAATTTATAAATGATTCCTTATTCAGCTATTCTGTCATTCAGTTGATCAGTTCTAGGTGCGTGCATAATTAGGTCACAATTTAGGTGCATATAAATATTTCGAAATTCGAATCTCTTATTATAAAAAAATTTAAATCTATGGCCTGTGGGGGTATCCAGTATTCAGTATTCTTAAAAAATCCATCCGGACCGCCTGACCATAGTCTGATACTCATACTCTCATAGTCCATAGTTAAATTGAGGCCGAACAGAACCACACCGTCCACACGTGTTAACGGTGTTACACGTCAATGTCAATGTGTTGTATTCAGAAATTCATCCAGTTTTTACTGTAATAAGACTACGCTGGAGCGGTTTAAAAACAGCGCAGAAAAGTCACAATTTGTCGTCACGGTTCACGTTGAGTCTTTCACACTGCACCGAAGCGAAATTGTTTGAAAACGACAGACTGGACAGAGCGAGATGAAAACGGAGCACTTGGCCGAGTAGCGGCTTGAGGCTTCATGTCAATACAATTTACAATTACAAACACAGGCGCTTGCGGCGGCTTGCCAGTATAAATTTGTTTGCTATAATTGACAAATTTTGGGTTTACTGATTACATAACATGAGTGCTAATGTAATTTTTGAACAAATTACCAACCGTAAACGGCGTAGTCACGTAGTGTGAATATATCATATATGAACCTAACTGTGAGTCCGTTTAGACTATTAAATACTGAAATACACAATACTGTGTGATCTGTCTCATGTCTGTGACTACTGTGAGTACTGTGACAATACTGTCAATACAAATTTAGAATTTCCATAAAATGCGCAACTAAAACGTGAAACAAATTACAATTTACAATTTACAAGTTCACAACAATGCACCTACCTTGCAGGAAGTCGTTTGATAGACGATAGTTTCAGAACATCAGCTTACAGTTGCAGGATTGAGGATTGATGTTCGCCTTGAAAAGCCAAAACCAAAAGACCGCAATTTGACGGAATCTGGCCAAAGGCCAGTAGGCCACAACTTGCTTGAGGCAGTGATCGAATTTCACAATGGCTGATGTTTATTGGTTACCTACCTGACCTCCTCGGAAATGAACTTTCAGCATACCAATTCCACATGGGTCTGAGTGTCTGATGGCTTCAAAATTATTTTCAATTAATTCGCGGCGCCGCGCCGCCGCCGGCGCGCAAAAAATTGCGGTTCCCGTGTATCGCGATATTTCTCACGCGCGCTTGAAAAATTGCGCAATTTTAAATTCACGCGAGCGCGCGCTTGAAAAATTGCGGTTCCCGTGTATCGCAATATTTCTCGCGCGCGCTTGAAAAATTGCGCAATTTTGAATTTACGCGAGCGCGCGCTTGAAAAATTGCGCAATCTCAGCTTCGCGCGCGCCTAATTTTTGAAAATGCGCGTCTGAGAGCTAATATTTTGAAATTTGCGCGTCTGGGCGCGCATTTTGGAAAAAATTGCGCGACCGAGATCTCGGGCGCGCAGTACAAACTTTCCAGTCTGGGGATTTCTGATGACATAACTGAATCGATCAACCAGGTTTCACACATACAGACAACGTCATAACAATTATAGGCCGTCGTCTAGTGCCTCAAAATGTTTAGTTTCGTTGCACACCTCTTTAAACTAAAAGAAAATTACATATTCTTATAGATTAAGTGACGCTGAATCCAAATCTAAAAAGTTCTTGCGGGTTCACCCTGCAGTTTTTTTTTTAATTGCGATCAAAATCTTAAAATTTACGAGTTTCGCAATAGCATTTTTACTATATGCCATACGTCAAAATGCCTACTCTTGGAACCAGTCACTCGCGCGCCATAGTGAAAATTATACAGGATAGGTCACTTCCGCCTCCTCTTGAGATATTTGAAATCAGATTTGATGTAAACAATGAGCAACACGATTTTCAAGTTTCATATATCATTGCGACAAAGCGTATTTTCTGGCTTTGTACGAAGATATTTAGCAACACCAGGCATTCTTTCAAGATTATGAACTTATGTGCACATTTTTTATCCTTATTGCGTGTAATAAAGGACGAAACAAACTTCAATTTTATATTTTGAAGACTGAGCATTGATGCCTAATGGACATATAAATTTGTAGCAATTGATATATTTGTATGGTAAGCCAAAAACTATCAAATATACTTAATTATAGTAAATCTATAAAATACATATTTAAACAATACTGTAATTAATACTATATAGTAATTAATAGCACATTAGGTTTCATCATCATCACAATCCACTGTTGTTCTCACAATTGTTTGTGTGGATTTTTGTATAAAATTTATGCCAAGAGCATAGCTAATATTAAAGTGTTAGTGCATTTGCAAAGTTCAGTGCACTTCAAATTTGTCTTAAAACATGAGCATCTTTTTGTTTGACAACCCTTTTTGCATTTGCAGAATTGCAGCTACCCGGAGCAGTTGCTGTCCGGATCAGATATTTCCCCATATTTCCCCATGAAAGACAAAATGTATATATTGTAAAAAATTAGATAAAAGGAGAAATTCAGAGGGAAATTGTAACCAATAGAAAAAATGTTTACCTGTTTTGTAGGAATGAGCTATGAAATACAATTATAAGTGCATCCATCTTCATAGTTTGATAGTGTATAAATGTACAGATTATAGAATGTTGTTACAAAGTTGTATGACAAATGTATTTTTAGCCAATCTGGGGCACCATATATTTAAAATATTCTGGGGAAGCATTAGTCTCCTTCAGAGCTGCTATTTGTGTTGAGTTTCTCCTCACAAGCAGCTTCTCACTCAAGCACAGCATTCTGTCCCCTTTGTCTTTCATTAGATATCTTAATGTTTAATAATTCATAAATATCTTGTCTCAAGGTCATGTTTCCAAAAGTTAGAAGCATTACTGTGATCGGTTGTTTTCCGGAAAGGAATGTTGTGCTCGAGTGAGCCGCCACTCATGGGGAGAAACCTTGACACAATGAGTGGCTGTGAGGTAGACTAGGGGAGGACGAGTGCCTCCATGATAGTGCCTTAGGATCCAACCCTTGATGCATGTTATCTAAATTACTTTTATGTTATATTCCTAAAAAGATTATTAAAATTCTCCAGTGAACTCAAGACTAGAATGACATCCAGTTTGACAATGTTCTCTTCAACCTTATAACAGTATTTAATTAAATATTCATCTGATTGCATAAGGTTTCGAGTAGATATCATTCCAATATTTCAATATTTGAGGAATCATATACTCTATATATAATTTCCTCACCGGGGCATGTCTAATGCAAACAAATTATTTCCAGCCAGTATACAGACATATAGGCTATAGCGAGCATAATTTATGTACCAAGGACTCATTGCTCTCACTGCTGATAGGTGAAGCTATACCTGTCACATTTTAGGAAGAGTTACTCCTCTTCAACAAACATCTGGAATCTTAATAACATTTTGTCATAAATTAGATAGGTTTACCTACTTAAATAAAAATTTCCATTACATACAGCAGCAGTTACTGTATGTATAAGGTCACATAACTGCCACCTAACACATAACTGCTCTTCTGCCCCTTAGCAAAGGCATGTCACACACCTCTTCTGTCATATTGAACATTTTTAAACTTTAGTTAGAATATCTCAACATTGCAGTAAAGGCAAGACAACAGCACTCAGAGTATGTAGCAAAATTAAGCACCACAAATTCTTCAAATATGCATTCGAGGCACTTAGAGATGATTTACACCTTCCCGAGGGTGCAGTCACCACCTTCCTGGAGTGATATCTTTACGGCCAGGAAAATACCACATCGATCAATAATACCGATGGGGGACACTGCAAATGGCTGTATGTATCGGTTTGTTGATGCCTTTTGTAAAATATTAATAAGCTTCCTTAGTTCCCCAATATGTCAAACAGTAGTTATTAACTATTGGGCCGAGATGGTATGGGCCGAGCTGGTCAGTAATTTGTTAGCTACAAATGCAAATAGGGTTGTCAAACAAAAATACAAAATGCTCATTTTTAAAAGCAAATTTAAATAAAAGTACACTAAACTTTGTAAATGCAGCAATTGTGAGAACAGTGAGGTAGATCTAGTTCAATGGATAGATCCCAGATAACGTAGATGAAGGCAGTGGACTATGATGATGATAAAAGCTAATGTGCTTGTGTGATATGTTACTCTCAGTGTATATCACATAAGCATCTTATTCACCTGAGTACATTGCATCAATACAGCAAATTTCAAAAGCTAATGTGTTTAGTTACTATATGGTACTAATTATAGTATTATTTAAATATGTATTTTATATATTTACTGTTAAGTATTTGGTAGTTTTTGACTTACCATACTGATACAAATATATCCATAATACTACAATGATGCCATTATAAATTCCTTTTAATATCTTCAAAATTGCAAAATATAAAATTGAAGTTTGTTTCGTCCTTTATTACACGCCATAAAGATGAAATAGTGTGCACATATAAAGTTCATAATCTTGAAAGAATGCATGGTGTTGCTAAATATAAAGCCAGAAAATACGCTTTGTCGCAATAATATATGAAACTTGAAAATCGTGTTGCTGATTGTTTACATCAAATCTGATTTCACATATCTCAAGAGGAGGCGGAAGTGACCTATCCTGTATAATTTACACTATAGTGCGCGAGTGACTGGTTCCGAGAGTAGGCATTTTGACGTATGGCATATAGTAAAAATGCTATTGCGAAACTTGTAAATTTTAAGATTTTGATCGCAATTTACAAAAAAACTGCAGGGTGAACCCGCAAGAACTTTTTAGATTTGGATTCAGCGTCACTTAATCTATAAGAATATGTAATTTTCTTTTAGTTTAAAGAGGTGTGCAACGAAAATCGTTTTCTAGCCATCTTTTGGGGCACTAGACGACGGCCTATTACTGTAGACCAGCTGCTGTATCAATGTTATTTTAAACCGCCGAGATAAGTAGGTGAGTTGTTATT